TTGGGTTGAAAGACAACACTTGTATCTTTAAAACAAAATATCCAATTTGAAAATCGGTTGCAAACTACCATAAATATATTTTTTTAAAGTTAAAACTTCAAAAATAGCTCTTTTTCACATCTTTTGCTCTTAAAAAGGAACTAAACGAAGTGATCGGGAAAAATTAAAAATATATTCCTACTCTATGGACTATAACGAAATGGAATTGGTATATGAGAACCCCTGCATTTTTTTGCTGTATCACTGTGTAATTGTTCGTCCGAAAATTGTCTTAGTCCTGGTCCATAAACCCTATAAAATATTCCCGTACATTGAGATCGGAGATGTTTTCAATTGCATGGTTTTAAATATAGAATGACTTCTAACATGATGTTTAATTTTATGATCGTGAGAGCTTTCATGTTCATTTCTCGTCAAGGTATAGAAAAGGTTTCTTTATCAAGTATTGTCGACATGTGCTTAAAGAGTCATGTTTCTAAATTTTTTTGCGATTGCATAGGAGTGAGCTGAGTATGTAAGCTAAGTTTTCGAGAAAATATGTGAAAGTTAGACTTCTTCGATGTTGTTGCGGAATGCGTTACCCACATAAAATATGACCTGAACTCTTTGCGAATGTACTGTGAATTTGGATCTTAATTTTGAATTTTAAAATACCTACGAATTATTTTACTGCGTGGTTTTGACTATTTACGCAAAACGCTATGAATTTTCTGATGTTGATTTAATAATATTGGACAACAAAATGAAGTTAAAATCTGTGTATCACGTCGGAATGGAATATTTATATTTAAAATTAACTAGATTAACACTTTTGCTTACAATTTAAAAAAATATTATGAAATGTGACCTAACCTGGGATACCAGTATCAGTATTTAATTCTAAGGCAAATCATTATCCGTCTGCTATAAAAACATTTATTTCGATACATATACATTTATAAAAATTACAAATCACGTAATACTTTACTTTATAAAAGTGAAACAATAAATTTGTAAGGCCTAGCTTCATCCTGATAAACGACCGAAACAATAAAATTCAAAGAGTCACCAACAAATCTGGGATTATTGAATAAAAATTGTGTATTTTAGTATTTATGACAAATTTGGAGATATTTTTAATATTTTCTAACATATAGATAATATTTTTTATTCATGATTTTTTTCGTTCGTCTTCGCGGACCCCCTAGGATTTTGCTACGGACCACTAGGGGTCCGCGGACCCCCTTTTGGGAACCGTTGGACTAGACTATAGACTAGACTATAGACTAGACTATAGACTAGACTATAGACTAGACTATAGACTAGACTATAGACTAGAATACTCTAGACTATAGACTAGAATATAGAGTAGACTCTAGACTATAGACTAGACTATTGACTAGACTATAGACTAGACTATAGACTAGACTATAGACTAGACTATAGACTAGACTATAGACTAGACTATATACTAGACTATATACTAGACTATATACTAGACTATAGAATAGACTATAGAGTAGACTATAGAATAGACTATAGAGTAGACTATAGACTAGATATAGTCCAGACTATAGACTAGATAATAGTAGGGACTAGACTGTAGTTCAGACTATAGTGTATACTAAGCAACAGACCAGACTATAGACTAGACTGTTGTTCAGACTATATCCAGACTACACACTAGACTGTAGTACAAACTATATACTAGTATATAGTTCAGACTATAGACTAGACTATAGTTCAGACTATAGACTAGACTATAATTCATAATATAGACTAGATTATAGTCCAGACTATAGTCGAGACTATAGACTAGATTATAGTTCAAACTATAGACTAGACTATAGTTCAATCTATAGACTAGACTATAGTACAGACTGTAGTTCAGAATATAGACTAGACTATAGTACAGACTAGACAATAGACCAGACTATAGACTAGACTATAGTTGAGACTACAAACTAGACAATAGTCCGGACTATAGACTAGACTTTAGTCCAGACTATAGACTAGCCTACATGTTAATAACCGAAAATCTTCGTATTGTGAACAATACTATCGAGGAACTATGGACTAGACTATAGTTCGGACTAAAAACTGTTATATTGTCTTGACAATATACTAGACTTTTAAAATACAGTCAAGAGTATAGACCAAACTTCAGTCCAGACAATAGGTAATATAGTTTTGACTGTAGTTTGGTCTATAGTGGACTATTTTTTAGTCCATAGTCTGGACTATTGCCTAGTCTATAGACTAGACTGGACCATTCAGGGATTCAGGGCTGTTCAATTCATTAAAAAAGTATATTTTGCTCTCTGATTTCAAAATGCATATTTTAGCTTCGAAAGATATAATTTTTAGAAAGAAATTTTTGGATAATTTGAATGTTATTGAAATATGGATAAGATGGATAAAATGAGCCAATAACACTTTAAATAAACACTTCAATTACTCATTAATGACTAGTATTGCATAGTTTTAGGGTTTTTTGTTAAAACATATAAATTCAAATGCCGTAACGTATTTTATGTTTAACAAAAATATTTTCGCATATTAATATATTGAAAAAACTATTTTTCAAAAAAAAAATATTTCACTAAAAATTCGATTTTTTACAAAAAATATATTTTTATTTAAAAACTAGATTCATTCACGAAAAATTAAAATTAAAAAATGTGATTTTAAACTATAGTGAATGAAAATGGTTTGGAAAAAAAAGTCATGTTCGATTCATACAATATATTACGAAATTCATTCAAGTTATGTATTATTTTTTTTCTGTGTAAGGGCTATACACAATCATCGGACGCAAAACCAGACACAAAATATGTGGGAAACTGTGAACTGATCCTAAATAGGAGGTCCTTAGGAATCCGTTGCTACACGGATGGCTCTAGGTTGGGACAGAAAATGGGCCTGCGGGTATATATTGAAGACCCATAATAAATATACCATACACCACATAAATATACCACCGTTTTGCTAATCAAAACACTCGCTTCCAGGCAGAAGTGCGAGCAATAACGGAATGAGTAAATTGGATTAGAATAGATATGATGTCAATAGGTGTTAACATATTTACCGACAGTGTGAAGGAAATTATGGCGTTATAAGATGATAATCGCCCCTATTCCGCATTTCAATTCGAATCGAAATTTTCTCCGTTTGGCAACTTTGGTATTCTGCATTTCGATTCGACTCTCCGCCACATAAACAACAACTTACAAAAACGTAGGTACGATCGTAACGCAGAATACACACATTCGTAAAGCATTGAAACGAAATGGAATTGCTTCTTCTTTTTCTTACGATTCAGTTTTTTGTTGGAATAGTTTTTTTCGATCATTGCGTAACTGAATGCGTAATCGAAATGCAGAATTGGGTGAATGTTAAATCGAAATTATTGGATTGTAAAGAAGCTCTAACCCAATACTCCCACAAAGATAAAGTTTACATCATATGGATACCAGTCTACTCGGGAATAGTCGGCAACGAAAGGGATGGGAGCTCGTTAACCTGACGAACGCAAAACCATTTGACGCAGCGAGGGCATCATTGGAATAGTAAAACGTTGGATAGAATCACAAACATCGGTCAAAATGACCAAGTCTGAGGTTAGTATGATGGTACATATTTATGCTGATTAGACACACAGGATTACGGGTACATCTATACAAAATTGGAAATTGTAGAGAGGACAGTGGAACTCTGTAGTACTTTCTTAGCCATTGTCAGGCTTTCGCCGAAATAAGATGCAAATATCTTGGGAGTGATTTATATATATTTTATTAAATTATTCGTATAAGAAGTTTTATTCGTCATTCATTCGAATAATCGAATAATTTTTAAAATTTATTCGAATGAAAAAGATATTGGAAATTTTTATTCGAATATTTTTAAACACCTAAACCCTAATACATGGAAAATTTTGTGTCAAGTGACCCAACTATCCAAGGTTATTACTATTGGATAGGAGACACAAATTTTCAGCTCTATCGGTTAAGAACGGCCGGACTTGCAGCGGGTCAAAGTTTGACACTTTGGTCATACAAGGTTTTATTCAAATTAGTGTAACTTTTCACCTATTGGTCCTAGCAAAAATTGTCCAAAGGAGTTCAGATAGCTATTTCTTCATTGTTTACAAATTTGTTTATTATGTACACAATATAACACCCTCCGCACTATAGTAGTGTAGGGTATACATATCATGAATATACCGAAAACCCTGAGTTTTCAAGTTTTAGGTGAATATATCTCGAAGAAGAAAGAAGATATGTCAGATGTTAAGTCTTTATTTGAAATTTGACAGAATGGATTTTCAGATGGCAGACACACAGTTTATAAATAAAGTTGTCTTGGCGTTGTTATAATATCTCAAAAAGTGTCAAAAATTTAGTTTTTTTCAAACTTCAAGACACGATATCTCAAATCCCAGATGTGTGAAAACTTGAGGCCAGATACGGATTTAGCACGGCTCAATCCTTTAGGAAAGTGTAGCTTGGTCTTATGGTTTCGACTTTGTTGAAATTTTATTAGCCTGAGCAATTATTTAACTGTTTGAAAACAAACTCCATAATATTTGCCAGATTTAAAAAATCTGATCTTGATCTGATTTTATACTATTAATAACATTAAAAACTTGGTAAATATTTTTAAAAATTTAAGAAAATTTTACTTAAATTAAACAAACTTAGAAAAAACAACACATTAAACCATCATAACAGTACGTTAATTCAAAAATATAAACAAAACTGTTAATAAATGTTAACATAAACACCCTTTGGTACTGTTAAATAACAAACAATAACAGCGTTGTATATAAAAGTACTTACGGATGAGATCATTAACTAAACTACAGAAAATAACAACCTTAACAATAACAATACAACTTAATATTACACTAGCAACCCTAGCTTTGATTAAAAAGTGAAATTACACTGTACAACAAAACGAATATGACTCAACAGCAACAACGAATGACTGAATGAGTGTAAATGAGTGTGTTTTTTGTTGGGCGCTGGACTGACAAGTTAAATGGTTAATATTCAAGCATTAAAACTGGTAACAATCATAACTAGTTGAAACGTTCAGCCGCTAAGACGTACGGAAGAAACGAAGAAAAAAATTTTTTAAGAAAAAATAATAAAAACAAACACGTACAACTGTGATACAAAATCTATAAATTAAACAACAAAAAAAAAATATAAGAAAAAAATTATACAATTTTTGCATAATACGCAACAATTGGATTTTTTTAAGGAAGCAACTACTTTGAGGCGTATTAAAAAAAACAGCTTTAAAGTATTACAACAAAAAATCTTTTAGTTTAACATATAAAAAACTTGTTTTTTTAAAAACCAAAAAAAAATGTCAGTCAATCGTGCACCAAAGTCTGGCTTTGCAGCTGAAGCTCAACGCAAGGTAAGTGATGACAAATAAAACCGAAAATTGTTGTTTTTTTTCTTCAAACCCACCATTGAGTAGAACTTGGGAGGTATTATGGATTCTATTCTAATGTTTGTAACATAAAGAAATATAGGCGGTAGATTTTAGAAATTATATATTCTGGATCCTTATAAAATTCTAAGGCGATTTAGTTAGGACCATACGTTTGGCTATAGGAGTTATTTAAAGACCCTTAGAGCAAGGGTCTTCAAAATATTTTCTTTTGATGTGAAATATTTAGTAATAAAATTGGGTCAATCTTCTAATTAGGAAAAGTGCGTTAAGGTTTAAACGGTCTTATCCGATAAAAATGTTTAAGCAAAATATAAGAAACTTTTTTTATGCAGTTCGAAAGCTTTAAGCTTTAAAGCTTCTTAGAAAGCTGAAAATAATGTTATAGCTTTGAACCGATCCAAAATTTTGAAACGAAATTTAATAAAAACCTTGTTCCTGTATAATTTGAAAAGGTCACTTGCTAAAGCTAAAAGCCTTAAAGAGAACTTAGAAAGCCGAAAATAAAGTTATAGTTTCAACCGATTTACAGTTTTGAATCGAAATAACTCTAAAGAAAACGTTTTTCTGTATAATTTATAAACGGCATTAGCCCTACTGGTGGGTATTTAAGATTCGTCTAGGCCGATTATAACACACTTACTTGTTTCTATATGCATTTTAAGACCAGCAGAGATCAAAACAACAAAAAATATATTAAGTGGAATAAAACCAGAAAAATAAATATGAATAACTCTACAAACACAAACACACACACACACAGAAAAAAAACACTTCTACATTCAACATGTGTGTGAGAGTGTACGGTGGTAATTGGCGGCAAAGAGTAAATAATTTGTAAGGAAATCAAATGAAATGAATGCACTGGCCCCACTAGTTTAGAAGAATGAATTATTAAATAATCGCTCTAAATTACGATTGTAAACGAACGAGTAAATGAGTGAAGGAATTTAAAGAAAGCAACAGTTAGATTTTTATTTTATTTTGAGGGTTTCTATTAAGGGTGACAGGAGGAGTAGAGGTGTATGTTTAGGTCAGATAAAATGCTTGAGACAGGGTGAGCAAGTCATTCAATAAATCATTCAATTTTAATTTCATTGATAACTAGAGAATAATAAATAATATTCTATATTATTATATGAGTTTTAATTAATAATATTTTAATGTTTACTAATTAAATACTCATATTTTGTCTCTTGTTTAATTAGTAATTAATGTTTAAATTCCCTCTTTAGCGTCATCACACAATGACGATAACTTTTGAAGGCCAATGTCTGGTTTAAAAGTAGGTAACTACAGATATGAGTAAACGTTTTAGGGAGAAATAGTTTTATGCCAAAAAAGTATACATTTTTTATAAATTTATAATCTAAAGACACTAACGAACTAATTCAACTAATCATATGTATACGCTCCCTTTTGAAACTATTTATTTTAATAAATTCTAATTTAGGTTTTCTTTTTTAAGGTGCCAATTTAGGACCCACCTTAGTAGTTTTCACAAAATATATGTTTTTGTTTAATCAAGGAGCATTTCTTCGAAATCATATCAATTTAACTTTTATTGAAGTTTAAAAAAACGTTTAAAATCGAATTTTTTTAGTTTATCAGTCTATATTGGTGACTAATTTCTATTTTAAAATAGGGCAAGTCAAAATTGTGTATGATATCATTGTTATTAAATTTTATACACTTTTTTTCAACAAAAATGTTTAAAGTTCAAAGTGTTTTCTAAAACAATTACAACTTTAAATAATAATTCAAGTGGAAATTTTTTCTAAAGTTTGAAGGTTATACGATTTTCGTTGCTTTTTAGCAGATTTTTCCTTGAGATATTTTAGTTTTTAAATGGTTTTTAAAAGGTATAATAGATAAACTAATGATTGCTTTGAACGGATTCCTAAGCCGAAATTGAAAGTATCTTGATCTGAAGTAGATTTGTTCTAGTTCAGTTCTAGTTCAGATCTAGTTCAGTTCTAGTTCAGTTCAGTTCTAGTTCAGTTCTAGTTCAGTTCTAGTTCAGTTCTAGTTCAGTTCTAGTTCAGTTCTAGTTCAGTTCTAGTTCATTTCTAGTTCAGTTCTAGTTCAGTTCTAGTTCAGTTCTAGTTCAGTTCTAGTTCAGTTCTAGTTCAGTTCTAGTTCAATTCTAGTTCAGTTCTAGTTCAGTTCAGTTCTAGTTCAGTTCTAGTTCAGTTCAGTTCTAGTTCAGTTCTAGTTCAGTTCTAGTTCAGTTCTAGTTCAGTTCTAGTTCAGTTCTAGTTCAGTTCTAGTTCATTTCTAGTTCAGTTCTAGTTCAGTTCTAGTTCAGTTCTAGTTCAGATCTAGTTCAGTTCTAGTTCAGTTCAGTTCTAGTTCAGTTCTAGTTCAGTTCTAGTTCAGTTCTAGTTCAGTTCTAGTTCAGTTCTAGTTCAGTTCTAGTTCAGTTCTAGTTCAGTTCTAGTTCAGTTCTAGTTCAGTTCTAGTTCAGTTCTAGTTCAATTCTAGTTCAGTTCTAGTTCAGTTCTAGTTCAGTTCTAGTTCAGTTCTAGTTCAGTTCTAGTTCAGTTCTAGTCAGTTCTAGTTCAGTTCTAGTTCAGTTCTAGTTCAGTTCTAGTTCAGTTCTAGTTCAGTTCAGTTCTAGTTCAGTTCTAGTTCAGATCTAGTTCAGTTCCGCTTCAGTTCTAGTTCAGTTCTAGTTCTAGTTCAGTCTAGTTCAGTTAGTTCTAGTTCAGTTCAGTTCAGTTCAGTTCTAGTTCAGTTCAGTTTAGTTCAGTTAGTTCAGTTTAGTTAGTAGTCTAGTTCAGTTCTAGTTCAGTTCTAGTTCAGTTCTAGTTCAGTTCTAGTTCAGTTCTAGTTCAGTTCTAGTTCAGTTCTAGTTCAGTTCTAGTTCAGTTCTAGTTCAGTTCTAGTTCAGTTCTAGTTCAGTTCTAGTTCAGTTCTAGTTCAGTTCTAGTTCAGTTCTAGTTCAGTTCTAGTTCAGTTCTAGTTCAGTTCTAGTTCAGTTCTAGTTCAGTTCTAGTTCAGTTCTAGTTCAGTTCTAGTTCAGTTCTAGTTCAGTTCTAGTTCAGTTCTAGTTCAGTTCTAGTTCAGTTCTAGTTCAGTTCTAGTTCAGTTCTAGTTCAGTTCTAGTTCAGTTCTAGTTCAGTTCTAGTTCAGTTCTAGTTCAGTTCTAGTTCAGTTCTAGTTCAGTTCTAGTTCAGTTCTAGTTCAGTTCTAGTTCAGTTGTAGTTCAGTTGTAGTTCAGTTCTAGTTCAGTTCTAGTTCAGTTCTAGTTCAGTTCTAGATCAGTTCTAGTTCAGTTCTAGTTCAGTTCTAGTTCTGTTCTGTTCTATTTCTAGTTCTGTTCTAGTTCTGTTCTAGTTCTGTTCTAGTTCTGTTCTAGTTCTGTTCTAGTTCTGTTCTAGTTCTGTTCTAGTTCTATTCTAGTTCAGTTCTAGTTCTGTTCTAGTACTGTTTTAGTACTGTTCTAGTACTGTTCTAATTCTGTTCTAGTTCTGTTCTAGTTCTGTTCTAGTTCTGTTCTAGTTCTGTTCTAGTACTGTTCTAGTACTGTTCTAATTCTGTTCTGTTCTAGTTCAGTTCTAGTTCAGTTCTAGTTCAGTTCTAGTTCAGTTCTAGTTCAGTTCTAGTTCAGTTCTAGTTCTGTTCTAGTTCAGTTCTAGTACAATGATGTTAAAAATTTTAATTTAAATTTTTTTTTATTCGTTAAAGTTTGAGAAACCGTTGAGACTTTTCTATGGCATCAAAAGAAAATAAAACATTTTCTCCAGTTTTTAGCTTAGGGGATTTTTAATAATAATTTAAATTTTATTTTCAAAAACAATATTTAACTTTTAATCTTAACTAGCGTGTTGGTTATGATTTCATTTTCGAGAAAGCTCAAATGTTTATCTTCATCTCTGTAATATTTTTTCCCCCAATTACGGTATTTTGTTTAAAGTAAATATTTACTTTTTTTCAACAGATAATGTCATACTTTTTAAGTAAATAAATCACAAAACAGAAAGGTTATAAAATAAAACATAGTGAAACGTCACCAAAAAAACTAAATTACTATGTTTTGATTTGGTGTATAACATGTTTTTTCACTTTATTTTGGCTTTTAATGTTTGTGTTTTTTTTATTTTTTAATTTGTCCGTTACACTTTTTATTATGACATTAAATTAAAGCATTAGAATTTCGTTTTCATTAGTGTGACAGATAAATTGTGGTAGAGAGATATGTAGATAGAGAGAGAGAGAGGGTTTATGTTTGATGTTAATGTTGTCGTTTTTGTTTTGTGTCAAAAGTATTGTTAAACGGCTTCGTTTTAAGGCCACATTTGTTAAGTCTAGTGTAATTTAATATTACAAGGATTAAAACAAACAAACATTAATTGACACTATTTTTTTTTACTCTCGTTTACACATGACAAACACCCTTTTTAGTTTTTTGCTTATTACTAATTACGTATTAACTGAAAGAAAACGCAAAAATTTAAAGGTTGGACTGAAAAAGTACTTTTTTAAATTTAGTACCACCTTAGTTTGACAGCTGCTTGAAAAAGGTTTGAAGACATTTTTAATAATTTTCCGGTTTAAACCTTGTATAAGGGGTAAATTTTAATTTTCTTAATGAAGAAAAATACAAATTCGTATCATTGTTACAAGAAACTAAAGAAGATATGTAAGAAGGGACTTTTTTTAGGGTGGCAAAAATACGAAAAAGAAAAAGTACAAAAATTATTGTATGTACTTGACAAAGATAAGCAAATTGTATTTAAGCAGTCATGTACATACGTATGTAATACATTAGCGTGGAACACAAAACAGACCATAGTATGGATTCATTCCTATGATGTCATCGTGTTATTTTAGTTTGTTTTTTTTTTCGTATTTTTTCTTCTTTCCTCTATTTGTTTCCCTTTTTTCCAAAACAAACACTAAAATATTTACACACCACACCATACACAGACAATTTAATATTTTTTTGTTAAATTTAAGGT